GAGAGAGAGAGAGAGAGAGAGAGAGAGAGAGAGAGAGAGAGAGAGAGAGAGAGAGAGAGAGAGAGAGAGAGAGTATGGCTACCACAACCACAAACAAACTTCAACTGCTAACTAAAACCTTCCTCTCAGGACAAAGATTTGAGGCACATCTATTTGTCCACTTATCAAATCTGTTCCAAATCTGGACACATGTCTGGATGTACCAGATTGAGGGTGTTGACCAGGTTCCTGGTCCCAAGATGTGTCCAGATGTCCCATTACATGTGCGGATGTCCCAGAGCTATCGGTTGAAGATCTACGTGCCACTCATACGTTACGTCTGGGTGTAAAGACCCCTGTAGTCCACGGCTCTGGCCCGTCATTCTAACGGTTTGAACTCTTTTGTCGATTTCACGAAAAAACACACTGCTTCTGAGTATCTTTCGCTGCTGCATATTCCCTGCCATCCAGTGGCAACTTCTAGTCCTCAATTTTTTTACCTATGGAGTCACCTGCTTCCTGGAATTGGTCTCTGGGCTAAGATACCACACCTCTTATGTCATGCCAGCACTCACTCTCCTTCCTGGAAGTAGACGGTACAAAGGCCACACTTGGTGTGTCCAGCCATGCTACCTTGCCTTTCTCCAACTGGCACGAAAAATCCATCCTCGATCAATTGGGTGAGGTTAGAGAGAACCTGCATAGAGAGGGAAGCAAGCACACCAAGACTCATCTTCTAAGCGGAGACCGTTCACTACGCAGAGGCATTAGCGTTAATTTTATGCACGAGAGTTCCGGGATGTCCTTTCATGGAAGATAGACAACATAACTTCAGTAAGTCTTCACCCTATAATGATGGTACTCAGTATCTTCTACAGAATCCCAACCAAGTTCATCAGTAGATTGTGCTGACATATCACATCATCACCCTTTTTTTTTTTTTTTCTGAATGCTCTTTTTTTTTTTTTTTTTTTTTTTTTTTTTCAAGAAACAGGGCCTTAGGGTCCTGGCTCCTTCTATTCTGGGGAGCGTCTGTCCGGTTCCTTTTCCACCGGCAAGTCATAGAAAAAATTACATCAATAGGAACTCACACACGCTTCCTTCCGTCTGGCCGAAGGACCCCTGATCAGCATCGATTACTCCAGTGTGGTGGAGGATTGACTGTCAGCTTGCCCTAACCTTCTCTCTCCTCTCAGACCCGATTGTTCGGATCTGTCAGATCAACGTTATATCTAGAAAGAGACCCCCCAAAAAAAAAGACTAGACAACCTGAATCCTTTCCTTGTCTTCCTGAACCCTTGCGTGTACTGTAGATCGGCCTTAATCCCTGAATCCTCCTCCTGGGCATCTGCCCTGCAATGGACCGTTAGGGAACTTGGACGAGAATAGCAGTCTGTTCGTGATCACCAAACATTGTCCTCTTTTTTTCCGGAGTATCTTGGTCCTTGCTTGATACTTTGCATCTTACGTCGTGACTAGGGCTTCAGATGCCGCCTGTTGCTGAGAGGCCCTTTCCGGAATTGAGTTGTGCTATTCCTTCCAGCAAAGCTGATCTTCTCGCAGTTCTGCAATCTTGCCAATGACCTTTCGCAAAAACTCAGCCTCACCTTTCTCCGCTGTTCTTCGTCTTCTATCCCCCTTTGTTTAACCTTCCGCCATCTGCAAAGAATCTCAGCTTGAATCATCATTCTGGTTTCTATCCAAACCTTCTCCCTTGGATTGGAGTGTCCTTCAATTGCTCTGCTGCATCCCTCCTTCCATATGACCCATAAGGTCGTTTTCCTGATGAGTTCAAACCAGATCCTTTCTGTCAATCGTGCTTGGACGGGGGTGTTAGTTACGGGAAGTAGTTGGATGGGGTGGTTGGGAAAGGGCAATGAGAAGAGGGAATCCCAGAGTGATGGGGCTCTCTTCCAGTATTCGGTTGCTTCTTTACACCGGACTAGGCAGTGAACTATATCTTCTACTGCTCCTTCCTTGCAGACTGTACATTGCTCTGAGCTATCCGGGTCTGAGGCTTTACGTCTGGTATGTAGCCATTGGTTCACCGGTAGTGCTGCGTAAATAATTAACCACTGCAAACTTCTTATCTTGACTGGTCTGATACGTTTAAACTTATCCCAATGGATTTGGGTGATTTTGTCTGCTTCCTGACCTATTAAGTTCCTCCATCTGTTTTTGATGATCGGGTCAGGATCTTTAGTTATCAGAGTTAGTTTGTAGCCCAGTTTGACTGTATAATCCTGTATTGGGATTTTTGTCTTGATGTTCCTGGAAGTGTTGGATGACCAGGCCCATTCCGCCGGGTCAAACTCCAGGAACCGGATTGCTGTGTCCGGTCTAAAGATTGATTTTGGCCATGTACCCAGAGTTCTTACTTTCCTGAGGAGGAAGGAGTCTAGAACGGATGACTCAATATCGCAGTTTAGGATGGTAGACATGTTGTTGTTGAAGCCGCTGATTGGAAAGGAGAGRAAAGTGGCCTTGGTGTGTGAGCCAGGTTGCATATGGGAAAATTGATAGGCTCTGGAGGGGGTTAYGTCCTGGATCATAAGGCCCCAGTCGCCGGGTCTCCACCATTCATCTTTTTGCAAGATGTCTTTCCATTCCTGTGGGATACGGCTGAGGAGATACTGGAGATTGGTTCCTCTTTTGTGGCATCCTTTAAGTCGGATGCTGATTTCTTGTTCAGATATCCAATCTTTTCTGTCCTCCTTCCATAAGTGGTCAATCTTCCATATGCCATTTTTGATCCAGGATAACCACCTCTGCTCAAGGAAGAGAGGGTTGTCTGCCTCGTTTGTTAACCATTCATTCCCAAAGAGCGGTTGTCTTAGTACTTCATCCTTGGATCTTGGTCTGTTGGTTTTACTTGGGATTATTTTCCTCCATGACTGAAGAAGTGCCGGCCAATAAGGTGTAGGTGTAGGTGGTCGGAGGACTTCTGGTCTCAAGTTTCTTGTTCGATTCCTTCGTCCTGTCGTTATCTTCCATTCTTTGTTCATGACCCAAAACAGACTGGACATATCAATCAGGGAGGGTACCGGGGCTACTGATCTGATACTGTCCAAAGCTAGTTTGTTCCAGCGCTTTCCGGATACATCAGTAATTTAATGATCCATTTAATTTGCAGGGCCTTCGTTTCTGTTCCAGGATCTATAATTCCTAGGCCTCCTTTGCTTGGCGATCTTGTGACATAGTGCCAAGCTATTTTGGGTATGCACTTTTCTTTGTTGGGGTCTCCTGTCCATAGAAACACTCTGGCTTTTCTGTTTAGTTCTTTGACAGAACTGTCAGGAACTGTCC